GAGAGAGACTGGATATTACCAAATGTCAAACGAGCAAAAACTCTCGTCATAAAATTTGAACCAGCTCAAAATTGATCAGAGCGCATAGTTTGACGGTCATGCGCACGAGCAATAGTTTCAACTCTCCGAACTCTCATCAACTCTCGTGAACTTTCATCAAGTCTCGATCCCATCCTCATTTCACCATATCACTGCTTGGCAAACTTCTCAGACTCAGCAAGTGGGCCAGTTCACTTTCTCCCATGAACACAATGCAAATTTTCACGCGAAACCAACTACGACGCGAGGTCCTCGTTTACTTAGCAGAAAACCTCAGTGACCTAAGGATAAAAATAAAACGCATAACCGCTGAATAAAAAGTACAGAATACAAGGTCGGGGAACAGTACCTTCAACACTATACACAAATGCAATTATTCTATTTCTATTTAACACAATGTGACAGCGGTTTATTTTTCTCAGCACGTACAGTACCTACAGTGAAACACTTCGATCAGTGATCGTAAACTCACTGCTTCCATTATAGCTGAAAAATTTGCTACACAATTATATATATTTTTAAAAATTTAGGCTTGCATGTCTATGTCTTTGAAGCAATTCGTGACATTTCCATATGAGCATGATGGTGTGATGAGTGGGGACATGTCTTAGAAAATAGTCGTGTTCTTGTCTCTTGATGTCAGAAACACTGTTTCTTGACTTGGCCTTGTGATTTATCAATTATCGCACGAAGTCTCTTCCTGAGCTCTTTGCACTTTTTTATCTCACTTCGTCTCCTGATCTTGGCTCCTATAAGTCGCTATAAGACTACATCTAGTTGCGAAGCTACAGCGCAATACCAAGATTTTTATCACCAACACTAGGCAATGCTTTTGCGTCGTTCTGAGCCGTAGAAGATAAACATTTATTCTTGATCTGATACAAAACATGTAACAAAAACGCCGAAACACTGTTAATTTCTTGAGCAAAATTCTGTGTCTTCTTCAAAGCGCTTTCATTCGAAATCTCTGCAGTATCGACCTCGTCACGTTGTTTGTTCACATTGACATTGTCTTTGTTTGGCGAGCGAAAAACACGAACATACTTTTTCCCATTACAACGTCGGACTTCAACATTCACATGTCCATCGTCTTTCTTCTTTTGTGAAGACAATAATTCACCTTGCTCCAAAAGTCTCTTCATTCCCCGAGTCATTCGATCGCAAGACACTGCCACTGGAAATTTTGTGCTGACCATTTCCATAGCATATGTAAATACAGCAACACAAAGACTAAAGTTATCGTCTATGGAATTTTATTATAGCCAAAAATCAAGCGAGTCTTTATGACTTTAAAAATGACTCCAAAACGATGTACCAAAACTTGGGTCCACCACAACTCGATTTATCCAACTCTCTCTTCTAATTCCCGACTGCCAGAAATTACTACATCAGAGGACAGAGAGGGCCGCTCTCAGTGTTTATATTGCATATGTCTGTATTATGTAGATTACAGCGTGTGTGCGTGCATAATCTTACGCAATTAACAAAATTTGCATTTGAAAAGGCCACCTATTTAATTGTGAAAAAAGGAAGTGCGACACGCCGACAGTATACTGATGTGACTCGAAGCTAGTAGCTCCTTCTTCAACCGTCATACCAATAATGTATTCAATCTGTCTCGAACGCCCATGCAGGCTTTGCCATCAAGGCTTATACGTGAAGTATTTCACGACACGCTGCCGAAGTAAGATCTTGAAATCTGATGATTTTGAAAAATATCAGAAACGTGCTTCTCCTATAATTTTTCCTGACTTTCGTCATAAGAAATCATGGCCTTGGGCTTGGGAACTATGAACATTCTGCCACTATATGATCGAATACAAGACTTGACAACAAAGTTCTCACAGCCAGTATTAGCCCAGTAACCGAAAACATAAATGGCTTGCTGCCACCACTAAATAAGTTATAAGGACGGGCATACATTGCGGTAGATTAGGAATTTTGAACTTCCTGTGTGCACATCAAAGGTTTACTTAAGAACAGTTTTTAATGTGTCATTCTGTAATGAATATTTTAGATAATTATTACTTACATAGATTTTTAGTTCTATAATATACAGGGTGTCCCAAAAAACCAAAACTATTGAAATAACGTATTGTTAGAATTTGAATGCCCTAGCACTAAGCTGAACCCACACGTGCATCAAAGCTTGACATAAGTAAATTTTATGCATAAAGAAAGTGTTTAAGAAGCTGCTTTAAATTCCCAAGAGCACAAAATTGTGCGCTTTATGAAGATATTTTAATTTCTTGACTTAATAAGTCAATATTTATAATAAATATGCTGCAGGGCTGGGCAATATGCAGTGTAGTACAGACTATGTTTGGTTTTCTATATAAACTTGAACATAAAAACACACAACAAAATTAAAATACTTCAGATATATTTAACTATTTTAAACATTGCTTAAATATAACTTCCCTGTCAAAAGACAAAAATACACATTTCTTTCATCTAGAATTAACAATTCTCATCAAACGGCAGCTTATTTCCAATTCCAATGTTCTCTTTCTTTTCTCTCAGCAATGACACTGTCAAGAATTGGTGTCAGATATTCAACATCCTGAAACATATGTAGGTTTTGTATGAAAAACATGGCAAAATTATTATATTTCAAAATACTCGCTCAAGAACATTTTCAACTTATCATATTACCAAGTGAACAATAACATAACATTATATATATATATATATATATATATATATATATATATATATATATATATATATATATATATATATATATATATATATATATATATATATATGTATATGTATATATATGTATATATATATATATATGTATATATATATATATATATATATATATATATATTATAAGTTGAAAATGTTCTCGAGTGAGTATTTCATATTTTCCAGACCGCGCGCAGGCAGAAAGATATTGCTTGCCGCGGCTGGGTTTTGAACC